ACACACTGACCATAGACCATACAGACTGACCATTCAGATTGACCATACAGACTGACCATACAGACTGACCATACAGACTGACCATACAGACTGCCGTACACACTGACCATAGACCATACAAACTGACCATACAGACTGACCTTACAGATTGACCATACAGACTGACCATAGACCATACAGAGTGACCATAGACCGTACAGACCGACCTTACAGATTGACCATAGGTACCTACTTTTTAGGAATTTTTACCTTTATTCTTAAAGATTTCGGAGGGTTCTTTTGAATGAACATTTTTTTCTGTTCCCTTTTTCTACAAATGTAGAAAGGACGGAAATATAATCAGGTCCATGAAAACTTCTGGAACCGTACGTACTATAAGAACATTTAAAGAAGAATCAGGTTTCTGTTGTTGTGCAAAGTTTCTCCGACTGTATTGATGTTGTTACAGCCAGTGAGATGTGTGGCTTTGTTGTCTTCGCAGGAAGCTGTGTTTGAGCACTCGGTGCGTCAGGACGTCTACGAGGAACGACAGAATCAGCTGAGGTGGCAGGTCAAGGTCGGAGAGGATCCCATCAGCAGCCAGAGCAGGTTTCGAACCTTGGAGGATCGCAGCAGGGCCCTGAAACACTACATGGTAGGTCGTTCAGATATGTAGGTGTCCTCACACTGTGAAATCAAGCACTTGTCAATTTTGGGACAAATTGAGTCATTGGTACAATCTTCACTCTTTATCTCCATGGGGGGTACTCTGATAGAAGACACCAGTCATGTAAACTGTGATAGAAGACACCAGTCATGTAAACTGTGATAGAAGACACCAGTCATGTAAACTGTGATAGAAGACAGTCATGTAAACTGTGATGGAAGACAGTCATGTAAACTGTGATAGAAGACAGTTCTATCACAGTTTACATCACAGCACAACCGTTATTGTAACTGGGAGAAATTTCCCTTCACCATTTGACCGTGAAAAATATTTGCTTCATCAAATCTTGACAATGAGAAATTCTGGTTCACCACTTGATAGTGAGAGAAACTAGTTCACCATTAAATTAACTGTGAAAGATTTTGACTGTGGGAGACTTTAGTTCACTTTACGACAGTGATAACTTTGAGTTATCATTTAACAGTGATAGGTTTTGGTTCACCATGTGTCAAAGATATTCTCAGGTTCACCATGTGTCAAAGATACACTCAGTTCACCGTGTGTCAAAGATACACTCAAGTTCACAGCGTGTCAAAGATACACTCAGTTCACCGTGTGTCAAAGATAGAGTCAGGTTCACCATGTGTCAAAGATAGAGTCAGGTTCACCATGTGTCAAAGATGATGTCATGTTCACCATGTGTCAATGATAGAGTCAGGTTCACCGTGTGTCCAATATACACTCAGTTCACCGTGTGTCAAAGATAGAGTCAGG